CAAAATAATGATAATAAAATAATATATCTTCCCAAAGAAAGATGATATTACATATTACCGATTATTTTAATATGACGATAATGATCGCTAATTTTTTTTGTTTGAATTCCCAAAGCTAATTAATTAGAGGTTTTGAAAAATTGATTTTGAAAATCAGGTCTGGGTTTCTAAATCTCCTACGGGCGCAAGCCCTCGTAGGTAATTACATCATAGTAAACTGGAGTTTCCTACGAATACTCTCGATTAAAATAGAGGTAGAAATTTCATTTAAGAATTCAAATATCGATGTCAAAGGAGGTAAGAGTTTGAATTCTCAATCGGGATTGGTTCGAGTTTGAACATCTATTTCTGGAGTCAAAGGAAGAAGGGTAACAGGTGTTTTGGGATTCTAAATTACTTCAAAAACACCTGAGTCTATCCTAAGTGTTGGGCTTGAATTTGATTGAAAGTGATTTAAGTTTGAATGTTCAATTTTATTAGAAAGTCAGGATTCAATTCCCGGAGGTTGAGGTCTTATGGCTCGAGCCAGCCTCGAACCTAAGTCTAAATTGGGCACTTAGAAGTGGCCCAAACCGAGCTAATTCAGTGCAAATCTAGTCTTATCCAGGCCTGGATTGGTGACCCAGCTAAACCACCTAGGCGCTTTAAAATTATGAGTCCAGTCTTTTAATGTTGAGTGGTCGGGATGTTGTTTAGACAAGTTTAAAAGAATGGGGTCGACATCTAGAACAGATCCTTCATTGACCCCTTGACTTATGTTAGGTATGATATTTAAGCTAATGATGCAATTAAAAATTTAGACTCTATTTAATTTGTTGCTAATGAAATGCATGCTGATTGACTCGATTCAATGATTTAAATTTGAAAAGAAGAAGTTATGAAATGAGAACTCCCGGTGGTCCCGGGCTTATTTCTTAAATCGTTAGAGTTTCTATCTTATCTTAAAAATTTTATTTAATTAAAGTAGAAGAATTTTGACAAGTCCTTAAGAGCCTACGATCGGGTTCCAGGCTAAATCAAAGTTGACATGCAAGATCGCAAAAAAACTAGAAAAAGCAGGCAAATCCTAATCGCAGTTAACACATCAATCAATAAATAAATCAATTAAATTAAATCAATATCAAATTTAAAGTCCATATGACAAGTGTCACTTATTATTACATCCCAAAATTTGCAGAAAAGTAAAGTGGTCGGGCACCACTAACAACAACCCGAATTTCTAATACTAAGACTCAAGTGACTTTGAGAATGGGTCTTCTCGTTATCCACTTCTTCAACCTTCTGCTATTTCTTGGATCATCGGGTCTGGATATCCAAATGGAAAGAAACTCCCCCTTAAACGGGGTATTATCCTTCCTCTTTAGATATTTGAAGAGTATCCTAATTTGAATTCCAAAAGGAAAAAGACTTTCCCCTTTAGGGATGTCTTCTCCTCTTTGGAGTTCAAATTGGATTAAATATACCAAACTCAAATCACTTTAAATACACCTCAAATTATATCAAATTACATTAATTAAAATTAAAAAATCTAGACTTGATTCTAAAGGGTTATCCTAATAATTAGCAGTTATATATAATCCTAAACAGTTATAATTAATCTCAAGCAGTTTATATATTTGAAATTTAAATGTTCAACAGAGTGTAGTAAATAAATAAACAGACAGTCAATCAATTCTAAGCTAACAATCAACATCCAGTGAAAGCTCGAAAATTCACATCACAGAAATCCATTTGGTATCTGACCCTAAAAAAATCAGTGAACATGCCTAAGATATCAAATAATCTTTCACCAAAATTTGGGGCTCAATTGACCACTGGATTATGAGAAATTCTTAAAACACTGATTTCAATTAATAAATAATATCTAACAACACAGTGATCAAATTAACTTAATTTTAATTTTAATAAATACTACATTAAATGCCCTTTCTAACGAGGCCAAAAATGTCCAATTTAATGAAAAATTAGATTTTTTATGAATTTTGGAAGATCTTGACATTTTTCTGAATTATTTTGACCATTTTTGGTCAAACTGACCATCGGCGCCAATGATTGGCACCGGAATGGAGGCGCCCAATGAGAATGGGACACGTGGTGAGATGGGGCCCGCCACTTAACCACGTCAGCACCCGCATTTGAATCTGGAGGAAGACACGCGGTATGTTGCGATCTTGGCTGTCCGATCTTTGATCGGATGGTCCAGATCTTCTCTAGTTGATTTTGTTTATGAAATTTCAAATGCTCATATCTCCCAAAATTCTCAACAAAATTGTACAAAATTTGAACTGTAGTTAGAGGGTAATATAATCTAACAATGCCTGGAGTTTGGAGGCTCCATGCATTGTAGATTTGCTATGGTTCCAAATTGAAATTTAAACTTCAAATGGGTATAACTTACAATCCAACCGACGAATATTCGATTTCTTGGGCTTGATGGAAAGCGACAAAGATCCTCTTAAACTTTGTAAAAGATATCAGTAGCTAGATCTAGCTGGATTTGAATGTATTTGTGAATAACCTGATTCTTTCTCTAGATTTCTCTCTCTTCACCAAATAAGGCTTTGGAGGCCAGAATTTGGTAGGGGAAGGCTTGGACATTCTAGGGGAAGGCATGGAGAATGTTTTTGAAAGTTTTTAGGGGCTAAATTAGCTCTGGGGATGAGAGATTTGGTGAGAGAGGCTTAAGGTTCAAATATGCTTAATTAGGATACTTTGCCCTATTCAAAACGCTTCAGGCCATTGTAGACGGCCCTGATTTGTTTGAAGACTCCCTTGATGCTTTCCATCTGCCCTAGGGTAGTGGGAGGCAGAGGAATCAAAAAGGACCAAAGGATATGATGTGGAAAGTTGCCTTGTCCTTTTCAACACATGGGGGAATCATTAGGGTTGTTTGATCCTAATCCAAGCGTTGAAAATGCCTCTAGTAAGGTTCTGGAATCTCTCCAAACAGCTGGAGAGGTTTAGAATAAATGAGATTAAATTTTAGAGGGGTATTGACCAAGGTTAACCCCTCTAAACCCTTGCTTTGATTGTTTGACCAGTCAAAGTCCAGGTGGACTACTGAGGTGGCACCCATATGGCCTTAGAGAGCAGATGTGATGCCTTTGATTTAATATTTAAGGGAGGGATCAAAATTTGATGGAGATTTGGCCATCTAAACCCTCTCTTGCACTCTTGTTGACCAAGTTGACTAGTCAACAGTTAAGTGGGAGTGCTGAGTTGGCAAGGAATAAGTTTTAAACTTCTGAAGTGACAAGTTGAAGGGTGTTTGAGACTTAAGGATTTGAACTTGGAAGAGTAGAGAAGGATTTAAGCTAGTTTGACCAAATTTACAAACATTGACTTGGTCAAAATACCTTTCACTTGACTCTAAATCAATTTGATCATACTTGAACTATGGAATTAATGAGTTTGAAAGCTTGAATGGTTTGAAATGGTTAAATGGGTTAAGATAACCCATTTAGACCCTTAAGGGCCTGCTTGGTCAACCTAGGTTGACACAGGGTCTGAATTTGGGTTCAACAGGTTTGGTTCAATATTTAAAACTTGCTGGAAGTGGTTTGAAGAAATTCAGAGGTCATTTGGTTTGAAATTGATGTTTGAAACCCTAAGGGTTATTTTGGTCAAAGGGTCGAACTGGTCAACCAGGCTTGACCAGGGTCGGGGTTTGAGTCCAATGTATTCCTAATGTGATTAGGATGCATTGGAAGAGGTTTTGGGGTTTGAATTGAAAAGTTCATATTGAAGTCTAAAGAAAACTTCAATATTGCCCTTAAAGGGCATTTTGGTCATTTTGACCCCTAGTGAACTAGGGGTCAAGATGGGTCTACCAAAGTGCAATTTAATGTTCAATAGGTCAGGATTAAGGGTTTAGAAGTGATTGGAGGCTTTGTAGAAAGCTCCAAGGTCAGGATCTATTAGGTGGCAAGTCTAGTGGCATAGGTTGTAAATATTTGAAAGTTTTATAGCCTCTGGATTTTGATTTAGTTTCTGGGATTAGAGACCTCAGAATGGGATTAAATTTGGAGGGTTACCTCTAGAGACATGTCTTATCACTTTTCAAGTGATAGACTCTGAATCAGAGGTATTTTGATTAGGTTTTAAAGTGTTTGAAAAAATCCCTAGAAAAGTCCTCTAGGACAGGGTCTTTGGACCTAGGATTTGAGTATGGATTTTTAGATTTGATCTAGATTTTGAGTTTGGATGATTGGATTTGAATTATCCATATCTTTTATGATCATTTGGATGCTCATAAGTGATAGGATAGGGTCAGGCTAGATCAAAGATAGGATCTAGGTTTGAACTTGATATTGAGATCTGGATAGGTTTAAAGTCTGGATAAGTTTATAAGTCTAGATTTGATTTGAAAATTTGAATTGACTTGACATTTGAATTAGAACCTAGAGTCTAGAAGGATCCTATGACCTATAGTGGATCCTAAGGTCTGGATTCTAGGAGGATCCTAGAGTCTAGATTGGTTTGGAGATTAAATTGATCTGGGGTCAGGATTTATCTGGAGTCTGGGTGGGTCCCTAGTGACCTCATACAAAAATGAGGTCAACAGGTCTATTTTACTGGATGGAGCTTCTTTTCTAAAACCAATTACTAAATGGAAGATTGTTAATGGTCAACGTATTAATGTCTTAAATGACATTTAGATATTGAACAGGTGCATTAACAAATGGCCTTTATTAGCTGATTGTATTGGTCTTGACGGCTTGATATTACAACATTTCATTCTTCCTGATTGTCATTAGAACATGACAGAATTGAATCATTTCTTTCATCAGTATCTTTTTTTCCTAATTTTAAATCATTGTAAGATCCATGATGGTTTCATTGACATCGTGGAACCACTATTCTAGTTCTCAGGGAGATGTATTTTTACTTTGGCCTAAGAAGATTCCGTTAAAAATAGAGGCTATGATGATGATTTTGGTTTCTCAGTCTGGTTAAGGAAATTAAAACTCAAGCCCAAGGTTGAGTTTTTTTGGTGGAGGATGAGCAAGTTTGCATTACCAACCAATGAATTTCTTAAATATAGAAGACTTAGCCATATTGACTATTGTGCTAGAGGTTGTCATGACGTTGAGACTTGTTCTCATACTGCTGTTCACTGTAGTTATTTGACTGATATCATCAGCAAGCTGAGATCTTGGGGATTCAATATTCCTACCTTTCAATCTCTAGATTGCTTATCCCAACTGAGAATTTTATCGAAAAATAGCTTGAATATTGTTAAAATCTACTGCACAGCCGTTTTCTACTTCTGGAAGTGCCAGAATGATAGCATTCATGGTAAATCTATCATGCCTGTTTCCGTCATTGCTGGTATAATTCTCTCATCTACTATGAACAAGTATCCAATGCTAGTTGATTGGGGTACTTCTCTCCGCTCGGAGTCTAGCTCTATATGGCACCCCCCACCTCTACATTGGCTAAAAATCAATGTGGATGCTGCATTATTAGACTCTAACTTGGCAAGCATTGGTGGTAAAGTTAGATATTTTAAAGGTCGTCTTCTTCTTGCTTTTGGAAAAAAGAAGATGCATGGGGACATTAATCAACTTGAATTGGAGGCTATCTCTTCTTTACAAGAATTTCTTCATGATTGGATGTTTGATTGTAAAGGCATAATAATTGAAGGTGACAACTACAATATGATTAAACTCCTTCAATATTCTATGATGAAGTCAAATAATTCAGCTAACAACTTGATTTCGGAGAAGATGGCTTTCTTACAAGACTTTAGCAAGGTCATCTTTCATCATATTCCTAGAAATGGTAATAATGTTGCTAACTTGTGCGCTAATCTTGCTTTAAACAATAGTTTTTGTTTTGATTCTACCTCTTTCTCTCATATTCCTTCTTCCTTGTATAGTATTTTAAAGAAGGAATGTGATACTTAGTTTGTAACGGCTTTCCCTTTTTTTCCTTTAATGCAATTTGCATTCCTCAAAAAAAAAAAAAAAAAAAAAAAAAAAAGGGGGATGGGTGTCTCAAGTGCTAGTGCCAAATAGAGATTGTTGGAATAGATGTAGCTAATTTTGTTGCAGAAAAATAGTGAGTATTGGAGGAAGCTAATGGTCTTGAGTTAATTGGGTAGAGTCCATGAAGATTGGGACCGTGGAGAAGAGTTATGTTGGTTTTGGAGTCCTTTATAAAAAATCCATCAGTGTTAAGTAAAATAAAATAGAGATTATTTGTGGTTAGCTTATGAATAGAAATAAGATTGTGGGAGAGGTGGGGGACATGGAGAACTTTAGAAAGGAATAGCTTACGATGTTGTGTAGGTAGCAATCCTTGACCTATGTTTGTGATTTGCAGCTGCTGTCTATGGCAGACTTGGACATGAGATGAGCCAGTGTGTGGTTGAATGTTCTGAAGCTGTGTAGGATTTGAAGTCAAATGTTTGATATCCCCTAAATCTAAAAGCCATTCTGCTTGCTGAGATTTGTCTGTGGTGATGTAAACTTAAGGTGCAGAAGTATAAGTGGGATCATGACAATACAAAAAATTGAGAGCAAAATGACCAAATTTCCCACGTATTTGACATTCGATAGTCGAATAAGATCGTCTGCCACCTCAAGCTGATGTTGGGTTAAAACTTGCAATAGGTGGTCGGCCATGGAAGCCACGACCTGAGATAGAGCGATCGGGAAATGAACCTCAACCTCTATCACGAGCAGACGACCCACGAAAGGAGCCTCTAGTAGTTGCGAGAGCAAAATTAGGATCCATAGCAGATGAGGCGATAAGTCATGACTGGTGTCAACATTTAAGAGAAGCTCAACACTGCAGAGAAGATCATAGAAATCATCGATGGAGATGGGATTGAGATTTGTGTGTATCGTTGTTTTGAAAGATTAGTATGAAGAAGGTAAACTGTTTAACGTGTAATTTATTAAGCCTTATATATCAATAGAAGATCCAGCGACAGTGATGGAATCAATCTTGTTCTTGATGTCAGAGAGGTATTGAAACATTGATTTGTCACCAAGTTGTAGTTGATGTAGTTCACCTTTGAGTTGAAGAAGTCAGGATCGATTGGAAGATTGTAACCGGCATTCAAGTGTTAACCAAATCTCATGTTCGAAATCAAGATAGAGTATGTATGACAGAAGGGAGGGCGAGATAGTGGAATAAATGGCTAAAGCTAGATGTTGGTCGATGAGCAGCCATGTCGTATAGAGAGGATTGATCGCACTAGTACCATAAGAAGAGATGATCTGTTTCAATGGCTTTACATTAGATCTAGTGAGGTGACCATCAAAATTGTTTGTTGTGAACAATCTTAAGAGTTAGGATTTCCATATAAGATGATTTCAGTTGTTAATTGAACTATAACCATCGTCTTCACATTGGACATAAAAAACTTTAGTTGTGGTGGGATTGCGATCTCAGGAGGAGGAGAACTGGAGCCCGAGGCTTCTATCGGGGTGGTAGTTGATGTAGTGACCATTACAGAAGAGAAGAAAACCTGAAAGAAGGATACACCTATAGCTTTGATACCATGATAAAGTTAGTGCACCTTAATCTGCAATGTTCAAACACAAGAACAGAAGAAGGTGAAGAGAAATAAATCAAGAGATTAGAACTTGGAGAGAGTCTTTCAGAATATCATTCCATTACTCTTGATTACTTGCCCACTACAGCAATTATAATAAGTCATGATATATAGAGTAGTTAGTTACAAAGGCAAGGATGCTGATTAAATTAGCAGAAATCAAATGGTGGAAAGAAAAAGGTGTCTTGACACCACAATAGAGAGTATGGAGCCTGTAACACCAAGCGAGCCGACTTATGCATAAGAGGTATTACTTATATGTTTATACTTATCAAAATGTACATCCAAATATTCAAAAAACATAGATAAAGTTTAATCTTCCTAGTTAAAGCCATTTTAATTAGTTCTACTCATATTAACGTCCAAAGAGACTTGTCAGCGTACACGAGAATTTGTCTCAACTAGACGAGTTCACTAGACGACTATGATCTAAGAACTCATCTAGTCGAGCAAATATGATGACCTATCCATCGACCCGAGCGACTTATACAACGATGTGTCATTGACAACCACACAAAAAAAGGCAACATCACAAGGCGTTTATTGATCAGTTATATCATTATTAATACATGACAAGTAAATGATTTATTAACAGCTCAACCAACAACGTCATCAAATTGGACTTCTCGATCGGGCTAGACATTTATTATATTTTTATCTTATTTTTGTTAACAATTATATATTTAACCTACTTTATAACGCTCAAGACTCAACCCAAACCTATTACTAAAATATCAATGGACGAGCTCAATTCACATACTTTCATGCAGTCATACCACGTCTAAGAAAATTTCAAATCTTTATAGCTATAAATCTTCTCTCTCTTTCCTCTCTTTTTTTTCTCTCTTTCACTTTATATTCTTAATATAGCTGGGGCTGATTTTTTGATAGACATGGATTAATAAAGCTTCATCAAAGCTCATGGGGCCCAAATGGGTTCCGCCTCCATAGACCGATGAAGCAGCATTCAAACTGAATGCTTTAACCGCAGGAACCTTTAACAGTGATGCAAGTATTCAAAGCATTTCAATTTGATTTCCAAGCTATTCAAGGCAACATGAATGCATAAAGCCATTGGCGGATTATTGAAATGTCAAGATCCCACAATAGCTGATAAAATTATCCAAATCAAGTCGCAACTAAGAAAAATTAAATCAGACGCCAATCTCACAGCGCTCAATCCCAAACGATACACCAAGAATATACAATAATGCAGTTTAGGAGATCCATTGTTCAGAATAAAGCAAATAAGCTATGAATTATCAAATTTATAAAAATTGAGAAGAAGCAAAATAAAATGCTACCACGACAATTCAGTAAAATGGGAGCCTACATTTACTCGCTGTTTGAAGCCTGCCAAAACTAGAAGCCGGACATCCTGCAGGAGCTTTCAGGATATCGTCACTGTAATTAACAGACATGAGACAAAGTCCATGAGGAGGAGCTGACATCGCAAACTTGGCAAGCTCTCGGCGGTTACGAGCAGCTAAGATCTCCCGTACCACAACAGGAGGCAGTACTTCACGGCCAATCTCGATCAATAAAGCAACCTGCAGCAGAAAAATAAAAAAAGAGAAAATTCACAACTGGGTCTGCTAGCTGAAACAACGACACAACGTGTATATACGGGGTTGTGACAGTATGATCTTGAATTCATCAATCCCCTTAGCGAGCAACATGAAGTTCTTCGGAAGTAAAATTTCTACTTTTGTCTGAAGAAGAAGATACACGGCACGAACAGCAGGAAACGAGAGAAGGAAAACGTAAAGAGCCTTTTCCACTATATTTTCATCATCTGATTACAGGATACACTTCCCTATATATAGATGAAGGAAGAGAATAAAGAAACAAGAAAGTACATTTAATGGTAATAAAAGAAAGTACGGTGACGTGGAGAGTCCACGTCAGCCTTGTGGTTAACAGCCCCCCGCAAACTTATGGTTAGGAATCAACGATAAGTTTGGAGGATAGATCTTTGAAGCACTATTGTGTAAGCGGTTTTGTAAAAACATCTGCGAGCTGATCTGTAGGGCAAATATGATGGACAGAGAGATGCTTGCCCTGAATGGAGTCCCTGATGAAGTGGCAATTGACCTCAATATGCTTTGTGCGGGCGTGAAACACAGGATTGTTTGCTAGTGCTATTGCGGAGGTGTTGTCGTAGTAGATTGTTGTGGGAGTGATCTGAGGTAGATGAAAGTCTTAGAGAAGTCGTCGGAGCCAGAGGACTTTGGATGCTTCAGTGGCTAAGGCGCAGTATTCGGCCTATGTGGAAGAACAAGCGATCGTGTTTTGTTTTGTTGACCTGCCAGGAAATAAGAGAGTTACCTTAAAAAATTACAATAGCCGAATATAGACTTCCTGTCTTGGTTGTTGCTAGCCCAATCCGTATCTGCGTAGCCGCGGAGAGTGAGGTTGTCCCTGCGAAGAGGTAGGCCTGTGTTGAAGAAGGCGTTTGAGAGCATCGAAGAGAATGTTGAAAGGATTGTGCATGTGTTGACATAGCTGATGAACCGTAAATTGGATGTCTGGGCGAGTGAGAGTTATGTATTGGAGGGAGCCAATTAAGTGAAGATATAATTGAGAGATGGCGAATGGTTCATGAGATTTGTCAGTGGTGGTGATTTTACAGGATGTAGGTGTGGATACAGGTTTGGAATTTCGCATTCCTGCGTGTTCGATGATGTTCTGAGCGTAGGATTGTTGGTGAAGGAGTATGCCGTAGGACGTAGGAATTGCTTGGATACCGAGAAATTGGGATAGGGACCCAAGATTGCGCATGCGGATTTTTTTCATGGAGATTAGACAGGAGTCTTAATTTCAGTGGTAGAGTTCCCAGTTAAGTGAATGTCGTCCACATAGATAAGGATATAGATACGAACATTTCAGATTTGTATGTGAGAAGGGAGTGATCAGACGAGCTGATGTTAAATCCAAAGCTTTGCAAGTGATTGGAATGAGTAGAGTACCACTCTCGGGGTGATTGTTTGAGACCATACAAAGCTTTATTTAATTTGCAGACATAGGTAGGATGAAGAGAATCATGGAAGCCCGGGGTTGATGCATGTAGACGATGTTCGAGAGCTTTCAGTGGAGGAAAGTATTTGACTCGTCGAGCTGATGTATTGGCCAATTGTTGTGTAAAGCAATGAGGATAATAATACGAATTGTTGGCATTTTGGCGACGGGACTGAAGGCTTCAGTATAGTCTATGCCTTGTTCTTGGTTGAATCCTTTTGTAACCAATCGAGTTTTGTAGCGAGTGATTGAATCGTCATAATTAAATTTGCTTCGGAAAGTCCATTTACATCCCAGGACATTCTGGTTTGGCGCGGGTGGAACTAACTCCCAGGTTCCTTGAGCTTGAAGAGCATGGAATTCTTGTGACATGGCTATACGCCATTATTCGAGCTTGGCAGCCTGATTGTATGCGGTTTGTTCAGTGTGCTGAAGGACGCGAGCAAGATCGAAAATTTGTTTGGGTTTGAGAGAGTCGGTTTTGAATCTGGTGATCATGGGGTGTAAGGAGGATTGTCGAATGGCTTCAGGTGCACTGAATTTCGGACAATTTTGTTGAGCCAAGTGAAGAACCGTAGGGTGATTATTGGAAGAGTTTGAGCTGGGTGTTGTGGAAGTGCAGTTTTGGCTATAAGTAATAATCGTGGGTGTAGATGGGATTTGAGGATGAGATTCTTGATTGTGCCCATGAGAAGAGTTCAGATTGGTGATGGATGAGGGGAGTTTGGATGTGGGAACGAGTAGAAGAGGTGGAGTTGTGAGAAAATTGGAGGGTGAGTCCAATTGTTGAGTAGATTGGTTGTAGTATGGAAAGATAGCCTTGTTGAAGATGACGTGGCGGGATGTGCAAATTTTATTTCTTTTTTGGGTCAAGACACTTGTAGCCATTTTGGGAGGAAGCATACCCAATGAAGACGCAAGGATACGATAGAGGAGACAGTTTATTTTGGGAGTAAGATTTTAGCCAAGGGTAACAAAGGCATCCGAAAACTCGAAGATGGCTATAATTTGGTCAATTTTGAAGGAGAATTTCATAGGGAGATTTATTGATGGTGTTGTGAGAGGGTAGACGATTGATTAGGTGAGCGACTGTCAAGAGAGTGTCCACGCATAAGTGTTGTGGGAGAGAGGCTTCAATGAGTAGAGAACGAGTTGTTTCAAGTAGGTGACGGTGTTTACGTTCTGCCACTCCATTTTGAGATGGTAAGGACAGGTGAATTGGTGAATGATGCCACAATGCTAGAGAAGGGTCTTGATTTTGTTATTGATAAATTCCCCACCGCCATCAGTACGCGGTTTAAGAATTTTGTATGGAAATTGTCTTTCGACCATTCTCTGAAATTCAAGAAACTTATTGAACACATCAGATTTATGGACTAGAGGGTACACCCAAGTGTATTTGGTAAAACCGTCCATGAATAGAACGTAATACCTATAGCCCTGAGTAGAATTAATTGCGGAAGGGCCCCAAATGTCAGAGTGAACTAAAGAAAGGGGGGACGTAGTTACACTTTGAGAATTAATGTATTCTAACTGGTGTTTTTTGCCATTTGAAAGGTTTTATATATGTTGGATTTACTGGGAATACAAATGATTGGCTGGTGTTTAGCTATGATGGAGAGAGTGTGGGAGGACACCGAGGACGGGTGTCCTAGCTGACAGTGCCATAAGTCTTGAACGGCTTGGATGGAGAGAAGAGCTAACTGAGATGTTGTGGAATCTTTGTGAAGACTGTTGTGGAGCAGATAGAGGCCGTTAATACACGAACCCTTGAGAAGAAGGCGGCTGGTCGTCTTGTCCTTTATTTGATAGTCATAAGATGAAAAAGTGATTAGAAAGTTATTATCGGTTGCTAATTTAAGGCTACCTGTAGGTGTAGGTAGCATTCCTTTACCAGTAGTGTGTATTGATAATTGATGACCGTTACCGAGAACGCCTTATGTAGAGCCATTGTAGATTTGGGGATTTTGCAAATGAGTTGGATCGGACGTGAGGTGCATGGATGCGCCGCTGTCAAGGAACCAGTCAGGCGGTGTGGATGAAGGCGGAGAGGTAAAGAGTGCAGATGGTGGGTCTGTGTTGTATTGTTCATCATGTCGGTGCCAACATTTGATGGTCGAATGGCCATTCTTGCCGCAAATTTGGAAAGTGACCGTGGATCATTGGGTTCTGCCTCTGCGAGATGCATTTGAGTTGTTTGATGAGTGGCCATTTGATCGACTGCGAGAGGAGAAAGATCTACTGCGAGCACGTCTACGAGTTGCCATCAAAGCCATTGACCTGCCAGAGATTTGTAATGAGTGAAGTTCTTTGGTAGTCTCATGCGCAAGGTTGAGTTCTTCGCTGCATAGCAATGTGTATAATTCGTCCAAGGTGATCAGACGAAGATTTGTTCGGATAGCCATCTTGAAAGTTTGGTAGAGAGGTGGCAGACCATTCAGTGTATAATGAATGACATCTTCGATGTAGACCGGAGCGCCAGCAGCGGCGAGAGCATCAACCTTCGCTTTGACGTCGAGAAGGTATTGCGTCATGGATTTGTCTTTCATAGACAGGTAATGTAACTTGTTCTTGAGTTGAATGATTCTTGAACGAGTTGAGGATTGAAGTCGCCGATCTATTGTAGACCAAATTTCGACACAGTGATCAATTGAAAGAATGTAGGGTAAAATTGCGGGTGAGATGACGGAGTAGAGTGCCGCTGCGAGATTCTAGTCAAGAAGAATCCAATTGATGGAGCGGGAGTTTGGATGAAGCTGGCCATCTTAGGTGGGAGTAGATTGGGGTGGACACGTAGTTGAGCCGTCCAAGAACCGTTCGAAGCCGTTTGTGCGGAATAGTTTGAGAACTTGGGATAGCCAAAGAGGGTAGTTCTCGGCGGTGAGAGGTTGAGCGATGACATTCTTGATGTTACTCATCAAGAATTTGAGGGAGGATGGTATTTCTGGTGAAGTGATGGCATCGCCTGGTTGAGGTGCGTTAGATTGGTTGGTTGAAGATGTTGGTGTAGAAGAATTCATTGGGAAGGAGAAGGGAGGGTAGGATCAAGGCTCTGATACCATGTAGAAGAAGATACACGGTAAGAACAGCAAGAAATAAGAGAAGGAAAACGTAAAGTGCCTTTTCCACTATATTTTCATCATCTAATTACAGGATATACTGTCCTATATATAGATGAAGGCAGAGAATAAACAACAAGAAAGTATATTTAATGGCAATAAAAGAAAGTACGGTGACGTGGAGAGTCACAGCCTTGTGGTTAACATTGTCAAATATATGATACAACAATTCAAGTAATCGTTGTGCGTGCAATATGAAAACCATTTCAAACTTTCTCAGTGAGTAGCATCCTGACATAAATTTTTGAGGTAAGAAGTAATTATCATTCTTTCATGTAAGAAAACAATCCAAAACACATCAAGAAAAAATGATCCCAAATAAGTAGCCAAATATCCTCAAAAAGTCAGCACACAATCCATCCTCAATATGGATAGATTTATTGTAGTTTAGTAAACAACTTATTATTGACTCTAACAAAGAACTTGACAGCATCAACTTTCTTTATCTTCCTTGTGTATTTCAGTTCATACCAACCAATTGACCAATAGAAATAATCAAATTAAAGCATCACCAATAGAAATAATCAAATTAAAGCATCACATTAGAAGCATTTCTTTATTGCTCAAGGGGAATTTCTATGTTCAATATAACATGCATTAATCATCTATCATCCATCAACAAGTTTTAAGTCAAAAAAAAAAAAAGTTAAAATTAAAGCAAACATGTCAAGAATATTCTGGGGAATGTTCACTATTAAAATCCATGAAGAATTTCAATTTAATATTGAAGTAACTGATGACAGAATGTAAATGAAATAAATCTAATTGTGAGGATAAGTGTCATCGTGAAAACAAAAACTGACCATGTTTCTTACTTGTCTATATAGAAAACCTGTACCTTCAACCTCAATTTGAAAAACATGATCCTGCAGATAACATGTGGCAATAAAAAAGGAAGGATTGATAACGGAATCAATAGAAGCAAAAATAATAATAAAAAAAATATTTATACAACAAAAAAGCATGTCCATAGAAATATATGTGGTTCCATGAAATACCATTTCTTTGACATGAAACTGAAAGATTTCCTTAACAGGATTGACCAATCCATCACTGTGTGACACATTAGCGAAAGAGGTGAAGTCATGCCTACCAACAAAATATGATGCAGCCTCCCTCATGACAACTGGGTTCAGTTTATAACCACTATGGTAGGCATAACGACTTTGAAATGGATCCATGATCAGACCGTTGTAGATCTTATAATGATATAACTTACTAATTGTGGAGAACCGAGCATGAAACTCAGGACATGCAGGACTGATTTCCCTCACTCGGATTTCAGAGGGAAGAAGGCCATTAAGTGCAGCATGAATGCTCTCCAAGCAATCATAATTAAAAGGAGTGATAAAGTGGGCAACCTGGCATAACATGATGGATGCATATTCACAACATAGTGTTATCCAAAATTTCAAATCAGAATAAATCGAGAGATTCATAAAGCATTCTTCAAGAATTTAATATAGAATAATGGATGAAAAGATCCAAATTGTTTCCACAGTAAGAGAAGAGAAACATGAAAACTTTTGTAGCATCAGAGTGAATAATATATAGAAATATTCTGTAGCATCATTTTCTAGAATTTCCACTCAAGAAACTACAAACCTGACCCCACGCATGAACACCAGCATCAGTTCTACCTGCACCAACCAAATGAAGCTGTTTGCGATCAAGTTTTGTGATACGCGTCAAGGCTTTTTCTATAAGGCACTGTATTGTTGGTGGTGATTCTTGGTATTGCCAACCTGTAAATAGAATTCAAAGAACTTCAGAGAGAATGAGAGATCATAGAGAATAAAAATATGCTGCAGCAAGCTCTGATTATAAAGTAGTTATCAGTTCACTTCACAGTTCAATGATCTATAAGCATGAAGCAAATAGAATACTGGTCAAATGATCGACTAGTTAGTGCTATGGTCGTCCAAATAAACAGTTCATGAATCTGAATCTCTATCAAATTTCAGCATAATGAGCACAGCATGTTACTCTGACATAATCGGATTTTACTTGATTTCCTATAAATATCAGAATGAACAGGAACGGAAGAACAAGGCAAAAGCTAACATTATTGCCTTAGTGTCAGCTATTAATAAGAACCTAACATGGGTAAATTTAACTTCTATAAACAGAAAACATCAATATAAAAGAAGTGCAGAAAAGAATTCAATAAACGGAACAACATATAAATTTCTTCAACATACAGAAACAAAAGGCCTTTCACGCAAACATATTTTGTTGAGATTGCCATTTTCTACTAACACAAACACCACACATTGTTGAAATTGTATTAAAAAAATTTTAAAGACCATAAAAATCTTCATCAGATTAAGTGAAACTACTGATGCACAGTTGACAGTTGAAGCAACCGAAAAGACCGAACAAGAATCCCATTTCTCACAGGATGGCAGCTGCTGCTTGCCCCCATTCATGCCCATCTCGTTCCAAAAGTCCGGTACTTCTCTGAATTAGTGCACCTCTGACACTCTAAACACTCCGTTTAAGGAAAGAAGAACCATAAAAATTTCTGGTCCTTGGTGCCCTTTTGTAACGAATTAATGCAAACAGATGATTTTTTTTTTTTCCTAAATTATTCTGAAAATTCACTGATTAAAACATCAATCCAATGTTGACAGCATGTTAGAGCATGACTATTGTGTATTTTGATAATCCCAAACATAATTTAAGTTGACCTATTTTTTTACTAATACATTTTTATTCGGAGGTGTTTAATACAAACATTGAAAGTGCACATTAGAAGAAAACTTACAATGTCAGGTATGTTTCAACCAAGACGTACAAAACTCGAAGATTGTTTGTAGCTCAAGCCAGACTTAATCATACACGGAGCAACAAGAACCGAAATAAAATTTTTATTTTTCAATTTTATTGGGTTTTTGTCACTTAAAACGGCGGCCTTCCGATGACCCGGTTAGGAGAGTAGAGGTATTAGATTTGAATTATGTTAAGAAAGGTAGGGGTAGACCTAAAAAGACTTGGTTAGAAAATATTAGGAATGACCTTTCTTTATTAGATTTAAACGAGAATTTGACTTTTAATAGGACACAATGGAGAAAAAGGATTCATGTAGCCGACCCCACGTAGTGGGATAAAGGCTTGATGTTGTTGTTGTTGTTGTATTGGGTTTTTGTCATATGTAATCAGATTTAGAGATTAAAAGACAGCACATACATGACAGTTTTAAAAACAAAATTAGACTTATCAAAATTAATTAATACAAATTGATCAAAACTGATTCGTACTATATAATATGGAGAAAAGAATCAAAATGATCTATTGACTCTTTATGAAAGACCAAAATAATCCTAACTATATTAAAAGATCATTTTAGTCCCTTAACTTCTTAAAGACAAATAATAATAATAATCCCACAACAAAATTATTTTAATTCTTTTTAAAGACTTGAAGTATCAAAATGATCCCCTAAATAATATAGTTGGGGATCATTTTGAGATGTCATAAAGAGTCGATGAAAATTTTTGATCTTTTTTACCATGTAATATGCCTTAATATGGATTTCATGCTAAGATCAATTTGCATTAATTATATGATCTCAAAAATTGGACTAATCGTACAATACAATCAATATTTCAAATGACTAAAATGCCAAAATAGTTTCCTTAATTAGAATAATTAAAAATTCAAACTAATTGTATTGGACAATGTGCATCATATTATATGATGATATTTTTAATTAATCTAATTAACCAACATAAATCAAGGGCAAATGGGACACAAATAAAGTTAAATTAATCTTACTGAAACATATAGAAAATAAGGAAAAATCAAACAAATCTCTCTTTTTTTTTTTAGAATTACGATTCTATTACATGCTGCACTTAATATAAATATATTTCTTAATGCCCTAAAATATGAAAGACTGAGAAAAAAACATAAAAGTTGGCCATATGGGACACCCTCAAGACAACCATGTACCTTTTAAAACAAAAAAACTACATTCATTCTACATGCATAAAACTAAGGAGAATATTGACGACAAAGATAACATTATCCGAAGCATGACTACAGGAGACTTGAAGTGATTGAACAAGGTGTAAATAGATCTAGAAATCTATGATAAAAGTAATCATAACAAATCTCTACTGAGAACGGAATTTAACTCTTCATTATCTTAATAAATTTAATTTTCATTTGCACACTGGCATTATTTGATTTCTTGTTTACATATATCTTATTTCAGTCAGGTGTTGACTGCTAGAGTCAGGTTGAAGTCAATCAATGAGAGGGAGTTGATGGCCATCATTTTGGCCATCCAGAAGTGGCGGCCCTACCTACTAGGCGAAGCATTTCATTATCAAGACAGATCAATGGAGCTTGAAATACCTGCTAGAATAGCGGATGGTGACAGAGGAGCATCAGAGGTGGTTGTCCAAGTTGTTGGGATATGATTTTGAGATTCAGTACAGGCCAGGAGTTGAGAACAAGGTGGCAGATGTCTTGTCCAAATGTATGGGAGAGCTGCAGATAGTGGCACTATTTATTCCTTTGATGTTAGATTGGGAGGCCAATAGAGAGGAAAGAGCTAGGGATGAGGATTTGGGAAAGATCATGGCAGAATTACTGAGGGAAGAGGGTAGCCACCATGGGTACTCATTGGAGGGTGACAAACTACTATATCAAGGGAGGTTTGTGATGCCCCATATCTCGATCCACATCCCAAACTTACTCCAGGAGTTTCATGGAAGTGCTGTTGGGGGCCATTCAGGTGTGCAGAAGACATACAAGAGCTTAGCTTTGGAGTTTTACTGGAAGGGGATGTATAAAGATATAGAGGAGATGTGTCGCCTCCCTTTCTTTTTGCCGCCCAAAGTAGTGGCCCCACTAGGAGAAAATTAAGGAAAGAGGGATGGGTGGCTAGGGTGAGAGGGAATTTTTGAATTAGGGATGTTTGAATTAGGGAATTAATGTATGAATAGTATGACTTATTTAGGGTTAGGGTCATGCATGATTTGAGTTGTTCTCTTGGAATCTCTTTGGTGTCTTGGGCTCTAGATTCACAATCTAGAGATTTGGGAGAGAAGATGAGGATCAATTGTATCTTGCTTGGAGTTTTTTTGGCTTTGTTCCTACTATTGCAATCTATCGTTCCTAAGTTGATTTCCTCCAAATTTTCTATTTTTTCTCGCTGTTTTGACCAATTATTGCTAGGTTTGTTTGCAAACTCAAGTATTACCCTTAGGTTTACTTGCGAACTCCTGTATTTCCAATAAGACACCTAGTTTCAAAGCCAAGTAGCTCCCATTAGAAATCTAAAAAAAATAATTAGGGTAGTTAGATAATTCTCCGAAATAATAGACCCCAAAGAACTTCACCTAGTAACACAAAAATCAGTTCTAAAGTAGAAGGGGATAGAGCATTGTAAGGCAATGGCTTAGAAGTAGTAAGGAGTGAGAAGAGATAGAGAGAAAAGATGAGACAGACCAAGGAAGTACCAGTAGATGTACAAACCAAAGAAACATCAGTAGATCCTTGCTTATCTCTAGAACAATCTAAACCTTATATCGCATTTGATAAACCAATTAGAAAAATTATAGAGAGAACACCACCACCACACCCACATAGAATATAGAAGCAAATTTTGGATAAAAAATTCTCTAGATTTTTAGATATCTTTAAGAAGTTAACTATTAACATTCATTTCGCTGAAGCCCTTGAGCAAATGCCTAATTATGTCATGTATATGAAGGAAATCCTTAGCAAAAATCCGAAGTTAGGTGATTATAAGACTGTTGCTCTTACTGAAGAATGTAGTGTAATCTTAAAGAGTAAACTTTCTAAAAAGATGAAAGACCCTAGTAGCTTTATCATTCCTTATGCTATAGGGGAGAAGTTTTGTGGAAAGGCATTGTGTGATCTAGGACCAAGCATTAATCTTATGTCTTTATATATCTTTAAGAGATTAGACATAGGTGAGGTACAACGCATGACTATCACTTTGTAGTTAGCCAATGGATTATTTACTTACCATAAGAGGCTGATAGAGGATGTATTGATTAAGGTAGACAAGTTTATATTCCTAACAAACTTCCTTGTGTTAGATTTATAGGAAGATAGGGAAATACCAAGTATTTTAGGTCGACCTTTTATAGCTACTAGTAGGGATATGATATATATCAAGAAGGGGGAATTAACAATGAGAGTTTAAGATGAAGAAGTAACATTCAATGTTTTGGAGAATCTAAATTTCCCAAACAATGATAGCGAAAACAATTGTTATAGAGTCGATGTGGTAAAGGAGTGTGTAGAGGATGTTTTAGATGATATGTTGGCTTTGTAGCGTTGGATCAGATGTTAAGTATGAGTGATATTACTATCCTCCTAGGAGTTAGAAATTTTCTTGAGAGATATGAGACCTTAGATACTTCAGTGTTAGGTAAACCTTTGAAGCCATCTATTTTTGAAGCACCCACCTTAGACCTCAAACATTGCATAGCCATCTTGAGTATATATTTTAGGATGACTCATCAACATTACCGGTTATCATATATGCTAATTTGGATGAATTCTTAGAAATCATAGAAAAGCTTTAGGATGGATAATAAAATTCATTCAAGGGATAAGTCCATCAGTGTACATGCACAAGATCCTACTAGATCAAGATTGAAAATGCAAAATTGACTCACATAAGAGGTTGAACCAATCCATAAAGTAGTGAAGAAGGAAATGCTTAAATCGTTAGGCGTAGGATTTTTTATAATGAATGGATTCCCAATTCATTGTGTGAATAAGAAAGGATGATTAACTGTAGTCACGAACGAGAAGAATTAACTCATTTTGACAAGAACTATGAGTTTATGCTTACATAAAAAGGAGTTTTAGAAAAGGAGGTTGAGAAAAAGCCGTTCAATAAAATGGAGTTTCAATAATGATATATATTTGAGTAATAATTTTTAAAGTGCTTATTAATACTTGAAAGTAAATTTAAATTGTTTGTTTAGAAGTTCTGCTTTTGAGATTTAATTATAAAAGACAAAATTGCCAATGAAATTTATGTACACGTAATTTATATATATATATATAATATATAACTTTCTAAGAAATATTTAATTATCTACTAATTTATAATATCAAAAGTTTTCATTTTTAACTCATAAATTTTTAACAAACAACATAATTTTTATTACAAATATGATAAAATTTAAATCAAATTAATTTATTATTATAGTTACAATATTTCGTCATTAATTTTTTTATTAAAAAAACTCAACTTCAACTAAAAAAAAATTTATGTTGAAAGGTCAACATAGTGATCATTGTCAAACCAATTGAAATATCTACATTATTTAGGAAGAAATATCAGTCATCATATTATTAAAAAACGTTTGAAAGATCTAATGGAGTAACATCACCTCCAAAATTCGAATTCTACATGAGTTACGTAACTTTTAATAACCAGGATACGATAAGCAAGCCAAAACTGATTTGAAACATCATAACCAGTACATGTGCTACTTCATAGTCAGCTCAATGCTTTTTTAAATACATCAGACATAAACAATTTTTTTTAAATTATAGATACAATTGAACTAAATTACACTCTGAAGAGATAGACCATAGAACCTTTCATATATTCATAATGATTTTATATTATCATGGACCACTGGATGCTTCAAAATTCATCATTCATAGTATAAAACTTGAGAGTCACAGGCATCGGTGCAAGTTAACCAAACAAGATAGTACGAAATAACATGGGCTTCATGATAAAGACAAAATGATTACAAATTCTGAAATTTACACATAAAATTGTTCTAAAATATTAAATCAATAAAACTTCAACAATTATTCATCAAAGGTATAAACAAATAGCATTACAAATACTTTCCTAACTAAAACATAAGCAACCATGTCATCATCTCCTTCTCAGGATGATAACTGAATTTGTTTCCTGTTACAAAAACATTTAAACAAATATTTCAGCTTTTTTGTATTAAAATATTTGGAAATTCATATTTACAAAAAAAACAATTTGCATATTCATTATACCTGTTCTAATTGCATAGTTCAAATGCATTTTTCTCTCTCAGTTCAATCATTTCATTCACCCCATCATCATCACCAGACTCTACTTCAGCATATAACACATTACTTTCTTCAATTTGCTCTCCTACTCTGCATTGATATGCCCTGGATGAATAAAATTTTCATCAACGTCACAGTCTATGAAATCTGGATCATTTCGTGATATATGGCGTCGAATATAATTATGTAATCCCATGGTACCAACAACAATAAGACGCTGTTTCTTAAAACTATAATTAGACATATCTCTTAATATTCCCCATTTCTTTTTCCATACACCAAAGGAACGTTCAATTACACTTCTTAGTGAGGAATGTCTACTATTAAAAAGCTCCTTATGTCCTACAATAGATCTACTACCTCTTCTAAAATCTGGTATGTGATATCTGGTTCCCAAGTATGGCCTCAAATATCCCCTTTGTAGAGGGTAACCTGCATCAACTAAGTAAAACTTTCATGTTCATAAATTTGTTAATTAGTATACAACATAACCTAATTTATAAATATAATAATTTCATTCTATAAATTAGTGATACCTGGAGGTGGTGCAGGAAAATTATATTTCGGATCCATCACTGCATGTTTAAATATACGCACAGCATGTGCCGAACCCTCCCAACCAGGTGAAACAAATGTGAAACACATGTTGAAATCACATGCAGCAATCACATTTTGTGTCAGTGAATGATAGCGTCCAATATAAGCGGCCTGTTCTTCAACAGGGATGCGTGCATCAACGTGTGTGCCATCAATAACACCAATGCAATCTTTAAAGTATGACATGTACCGTGTGTCATTAATTATTTTTTCAGGAATATCATGAAAAAATTTATCTCCAGGTGCAATAATCTCCATTGATAATCAAACTAATGCTTGCAAACCATTATAAAAAAACCTACTAATCGTCTCTGTAGAGTGCTAAAAGCGTTCACATGTTGATCTAATACGCTCAATATGTCCCAAAACATACAAAGTTATTGCAAGTACCTCTCGAGTAGTAATTCTCCGAGTTTCATGTAAACCATATGATGATTCCAACAAAGAAACTAAGTCCATAAAAATAACTTGTGACATTCTGAACATGTTATGAAATCTATTTGGATGGCCATGCAACAACTCACACAACCATTTATCTCCCGTTTGAGCTGATGTCATGCAAGGATTCTTGCAAACATACAATGCATAATAATCATGAATTGCACATGTCGTTGTGAGTATTATATGAGTAAATTCTGCCACTCCTTTACGCTCATTAACTTCTGACATATCATCAAGTACTTCGTCTTCCATAAAATTTAACAAATCCTCTGCCATTATTGATTTGGAACAGTACAAACACTACAAATTACTAAATGATATATAATAATTTAGTGATTATTACTAATAAAAAATAGAAGACATCATTCAGCTGATTACATAAAAGCAGAAATATTAACAGTGAAGCCTAATAGTACTCCCTTCTCAATGATTGGTTAGATAAGAAGAAGAGAGAATATACTTTACTCTCCCCCTAAACAACATCCCCAATATGCTGCTTCATATAAATGGCCTCATGAAGATTGCCTTAAAAGGATTTCATATGTAGCACTGTCCGGCGTTGATTGATGGCCATTGAATGAAGAATTTGAATAAAGGTCGTTGAGTCAATAGAATGATTTAACTATCAAACTCAACTTACACCAGAACAACATTCAAAGAAGGTTAATGCTGTAAGCCTAGCTTCTACTAAGTTTGAACTTGCTCAATAATACAATATCAGTGATGTTGAACTTGCTCAAAGAATGCTAGCAAGTTAGTGTTGTTGAACTTACCAGATAATAATACAAGATCGGTGATGTTTAGCCCTTTTCTGTAAAAATTTTTTTGAAGAAAACTTAATATTAAAAGTAGGGGCTGGAATGCTTTCTAAGGCCTCTGAAGCTCTGGAGACAATGCCATCCTTTCTTCCGGTTGGAACATTCCATGTTGGTCCTCCCTTTGACTCATTGAAATCAAAAGCAAAAAAGAAAAATGTTTAAAGAAGCAGAGACTTAATAGAACTGAATAACTAGACCGGTACTTTTCATCTCTCTCTCTTCCTCCCTCCCTCTTGTGAAAGTATAGAACAGTGCACAAGGTCTTGTGCTTTCTTTTATGTAATTCTGTCTTCTCCTCAAAATACAAGTTTGTGCTTCCTATGGACCATTTGTGATACATTCATCAAAGCATAGCTGATCAAGTACGATGGGATATGGTTGTTCGGTAGAGTAAAACTCTACTTTGTTCTCTCATATACAAATAAAATAGTTTTTTTTTTTTTTAAGTATAGGTAACAATTTTACCATGTTAATAAACAAGATTTTTGAAAAGGATAAATGCTAATTTTTATACTGAGTAGTAAATAAAGAAAATGAAGCATAGAAACTCTTCACATCGAAAAGGTCTAGCAAGCAAAAAGTTCCCGTAATCCAATATTAGGATGTTCTAAATAAGATGTTAAATGTGTGGTGCCAGAACTTTTTCAACATTAGATTATGAAAATAAGTAATTAACTTTTTTTATGGGCTAGAAAGATCTTGTAATTATTTTTTCGAGCTATCTGAACTTCCAATCATTGGGGAGATCCTGTAATTAAACCTTGGAAATTCAAGTTCTGCTCAATTCAAATTCAATCCAAAGCGAGCTTAGCTTGTTAGCTGGCTTGACTTCATCCAATCCATCTTAGGAGATTAATTTTTTGTTGTTGTTGTTGTTGAAGTTTTCACAATTTATAAGGGTTCAAGCAATTAAGGAGAAAATATCAAAATAGTACATCCCATAGACTTAAGTGAATCATTGTAAATCAACAATCATTCAAGCAATTGATAAAACCAACAAGATTAAAATTTCATTTTAAAACCCCATTAACAAGCAAATGATTTAACCACAAAAAAGAAAATAAACAAATCCCATGCATACAAACTGCGTAGAGCAACTGATCTCAGCATTCATAGTGACACCTCATTTCTCACACTTGATCAAGGTCGTTGAGTCAATAGATTGATTTAACTATCAAACTCAACTAACACCAGAACAACATTCAAAGAAGATCAATGCTGTAAGCCTAGCTCAAATATGCATCTTGGTGGGTTTTTTCATGTGGAAATCACAATTGTTTAACCAGCTTCTTAACCAAATAGTATAAAAACACATGAAGTTGTAGAGATATATTCAAATTCTCAAGTTGAGAGTATAATAAAGGTAGCTTCTTTGACATTCAAGGAAAGAAAGTGTCTCCCAAGAACAAAAAGAACAAGCCTTTGTCCCACTACTGAAAGTAGAATGAAGAATTAGTAAAGTAACAAAACATAATTATATCCAGAACCGTATAAAGAAATAAGCAACAACCTAAATAAACACAAAGGAAATAAGTTATTAACCTAACTAAAAACAAAAACAACAACTACAAGAACAGAACATAAAACATGGTGTAAATGTTGATTTCAATTTTGAAGAGATGGAGCTATTAGGTACTTGCTTATTCCTTCTTCTTCAATGGGCAGTTAAAAGAAAGTTTTATCAAAACTCCTTCGAAGCCACCATAATCTTCTTTCCATGGGTATTCCCATGAATATTTCCCGGTTATCCTTATCTTTAAAGTATTCTAAGGCAAAGCAATATAACTCAAAATCGTCAAATATATCAGGAATTTTAGATATCTCTTCTAAAATCTCTAGGATAGTAATTGTTGTACGAGTTTTATTTGATATACTTATGGCAGAACTTATATATTTTGTAGCATCCACGAGGTCCTCAACATGATTTAGAAAAAGTTCTCTAGTACCCGACTTAGGAAATCAAACTCTTTTTCTTTTACGCAATAATGTGGCACTCTGTTGTGATCTTTATGTATCGTAGTTGCTTGTAGGCTCATTTGTAGGAACATGTGAAAGATGTGTTTGTTCATCTTGAGTGTACTCTTCTTCTTCATATGAGATTGCGTGATTGTCATTTAGTTCTGGGGGAAGTACACCAGAACTAGGAATCCAAACATTCTCCCCAGTTGCAACAATACGACTGAACATAAGATCCAACTTCTCTTCCAACTCTGGTGGTATTCCATTGAAACGAAACTTCTTAGCATTTGGCATTACCTAAAGTACAACAAATGATTAATTATGAATCATGCGTTATATTACGTAAGATTTGGTTTGAATTTAGAGTATAAAGTGAATGATTTTAAATTTGAGAGATACCTGCAATTTTTCATTCCACCAATCATTAGAAGCATCAACTGTTTTTTTAATTGGATTCCAACCAATTCCAGTCTCGCCTCGCAACAAATCTTTCCATAGCTTTCAGTCTTTCTTTAATTGGTCCCACTTATTTTTAAGTTGGTTTCGGTCATAAGTTCGTTCAGTGCGTTCGTTGAAATTTTTAAGTAGATTTTTCCAACCTTCTTTAGTAATATGCGTAGTTGATCTATTTCCCAGTTCTACTTCTCTTATACATATATCACAATATATTAAAATAATATCTATGTCCCATGATGTAGGTGCACATCCTTTTTTTTATTTCCCATCTAGAAGTTAAAAACATAGTAATATGTTAGTAATATACAAGATCTTATGTAATGTACATCCTTTAAGCGTGATCTAAACAAAACAGCAAGATGCCGTTTTTTTTTTTTTTTTAGGACTACTAATAAAGAGAAAGGAGTGACATTTGATTTAATTATGCCTGATGATAACATTTGAAGAATTTTAATTTATTTTTTTTTCATTAGAAAGTGAGGGGTAATGATATGGCTTAGCAGTAATGGGTTAACAATTATGAAGTTGTAAATATGATGTTCATCATATCGGCATGGGGGACGTTCAGTTCGCGTTTTGAAAAAAACACATCAATAGGCAAAAGCATTGCCTGTTATGCTTGAAAGGAAGTCATTTTTAAGAAGAATCAGAGATAGCATTGTGTGTCACTAAAACAATCTATAAGCACAAGCTAATGCTATTATAACTTCATTAAAAGACTGTGCTACAGTATAAATAATCTCTTCTAACTTACATGCAAATCAAATGTCATCAAAATCGCTATGATTCTTCATATGTCTTTAATTATTTGTTATGTAAGAGGTGATTTGGGTACATTAGCAACAAAACTATAAAAAAAAAAAAGAAATCATGAGGTAGATGAAGGAGAAGCATAAAAATCCTTAGGGCACAACGGTACCTTGAAAGTAATTGCCAATCTAAAGGGAAGCGAGTCTGGTCTAGTTAGGAATAGCGTGGGCTTGGGATCGCAGCAACTGTGAAGTTTGGTCAATGGTTGGGATGAGTAAAGGTCGCCAATGCTAAGACGGACTGGCGTCGGGACGGCTGAACAGATCAACGTCAGCGAGGATGGTGGCTACTGTGGTCGATCAAGAGGAGTGGAGATGGTGAGCCCTTGCGTGCAAAATGGTGAGGAATCGGGAGTCCGGATGGAGGAGCTAAAAAAATAATGACAGTTTTTTTTGTCTCACTATCCGCTGAAGAAGAAGAAGGTAGTTTCGTGGTTTCGTGGGTCGACGCGAGAACGCGGAATGTTAATTCGAACATTTGGGTAGGGAAACTGTGTTGTCTAAACGAATAAGCAGACAGCGAATAAATTTTGTAACCACCCAAAATACGTGGTTTAATAAAAAGTAATTACGGTTAAATTTGTAGTCCAAACAGTTATGACGAAGTGATTAAAACTTATTCAAATGGAAACGTAGAAAATAAATCTAATCAAACAAGGCCTAGATGGAGGATTTCTATAAATTATAGGAAAGTAAAATAAAAAATTAGGAAGGATTATTTTGCATTACCCTTAATAGATCAAATGCTTGATAGATTAGCATGGTATCTTTTCTATTATTATTTAGATGGTTATTCAGGCTATCATCAAATTCATATTATATGAGAAGACCAGGATAATAATACATTTATAGGTCCCTCTGAAACCTTCACATTTAAAAGAATGCCCTTCATATTATGCAATGCTCTTGTAACATTTTAGCAGTGCATGACATCTATACTCTTAGATATAATAGAGCAAGACATTGAAATCTTTATGAATGATTTTTTTTTTGTTTTTTTAATGATATTTGATGTTTTCTTGGATCATTTAGCAATTAATAATTTGAAGAGATGCGAGAAATCTAACCTTATTCTAAACTGGTAAAAATACCAACTTATGGTTAACGATGCATTATCTTCGAACAAAAAATCTTTAAAAGGGGCATAGAGGTCGATAAGGCAAAAATCCAAAAGATTGAGACTTTATCACCTCCTGCCATTATTATTGGAATCCTAAAACTTTTATGTCATACCAATTTTTATAGAAGATTTATTAAAGACTTAGGGGCTGTTTGGTATGCAAAATTAGGAGGGTAAAGTAATTTATTTACACGCATTTCATAAATTATGTCGTTTGGTTGGTTTTGAGCTGAAAGTAAGAAATTCCTCCAAAGTATTAGCGGTGTATTACAGGAGGGCATTCGTGCAACTTCGAAACCCACTCAAATTGAGCGGGTTAGAAATCCTCTCGCGCAAAGCCACTGACCGGCGGGAACGTAGTTCTCGGCGCCGAGGATGTAAATGAGCGCGTGTGCTTTCGCTGTGTCTTCCTCCGGTTTAAGTTGCGTGCTGGAGAAGCATGCGCAAGGGAGTGGACAGAAGGAGGATCACACGTGCTGCAGTTCCAATGTGGTGGCGACCAGGATCGCCGGTTGGGTGGAGACCAATGAGCGCGTCGCAGCATGCGGTTAGATCGAGAGACGTTTGGCATCTCTAGGGATTTGTTACTCGACAGGCGGTTCATAAGCCGGCTTTACTCGCCGGAGTGCTACCAGAGTTGCCCCAAAGTAGTTAACCTCCACTTCAACTTGCGGCCGGTGAAGCTACTCATTTATAATGATTAAGTGACCTTATTTTGCAATTGAGAAAAGAATCAAAATCTTCATTTTTTTATCCTTTTATATTTTTTAATTTAAGTATTGTTGACCATTAGTTGAGCTTAATTATTATATTTGTCTATTTTTTTACAAAAGTTTTCCTTCCTAACTTGTGTGCAGTAAAGGTTGAACGTCGGGAAATGGTGGAGATAAACAGCTTCTGGCAGTCTAAGGAAGTTTGCGCGCCAGAGGCTCCGTAGTTTGCTGGCGGAAGGAGGCTGATAGGTCTTGAGCATATTAACGGTGGAAGCGCTCCGCCGCCGGAGCAGGGGAGGAAGCTGGAAGAGAATGTATCTGTGGATGCAACGCCTCCTCTTTGAGTTTACGACTTAAGGCATACTTGACTGCACTGCAAATATGCTTAGATATTTATAAATTTGTTAGTATGTAATATTCTACTTAAAATATTAATCATTCCATCCACAAGTTAAAGATAAACTAGGAGGAGCAAATATTCGATTTTTTTAGTTCGGATTTTAAGGTCGTTGCTTTCCAGGAAGAGGAAGAAGAGAGCAATGGATGTGACAGTACTAAAAATCCATAGGAGAGTGGAGTCCTTATCCACTGCCCTAAAAATTCAAAATATAAAGGTGTTTTAGACCATAAGCAAAATATATTAACTTAAGTTAATATATTTATGATTTAATTTGATTAATGAAAATATTTTTGTTAATTACTTTTATAAATTTGTTATTAATAAAGTAAAAATATTACATTATTCAAATTATGATTTAATTAGTGCAATCATCATTGATAAAAAAAATTCATTAATTAAATTGTTAGTATGTAATAAAATAAATCAGATATAAATAAATTAATAGATAAAATTAAATCAGCATTATTAATATTAATAAATTAAAAATATTAACATAAATAATTTATCTTTTTAATTTAAATAAATTTAAATTATTGTTTAATTAGCTTGATAAATGACCAAATAATAATTAATTTATTTATTATTTTGTATTATTATAAATACACGACTTTTATAAATACACTAGTTATAATGCCAAAATAAATTAATATAAAAAGCCGCTTTTACTTTACTCTGATTCTATCTAACCAAACAAGGGAAACAATTCTCCTGCGATTATGTTGCAGACAACCAAACAGTCTCAAAGTATTCAGAATGCACTATATTTATTTTATATTGAATTTACTTTACACTGCATTTTCTTTTCAGGCAACCAAACAGCCCCTAGATGATTACGAAACCCTTAAGTCATTTACTAAAAAATGATGTACCATTTGAGTTCGATATAGAATGTTTAATTGCAATTGAAAATTTTAAGAAGTGCTTATTTACCTGCCAACTAAAAAAGATGTGTGATGCTAGTGATTATGTCTTTGGACTATTGTTAAGACAGAATATACAAAATTTTATGTTATTTATTATGCTAGTAAAACATTGAACGATGTGCAAATTAATTATATCACAACTGAAAAAGAATTGCCAGCAATAGTCTTTGCATTTCATAAATTTAGATAATATTTGATTTGCACCTATATTGTTTTCATTGATCACTCTACTATTAAATACCTATCAACTAAAAAAACATTCTAAACTGAAATTGATTAGAACGATTTAATTTCTATAGGAGTTTAATGTAGAGATCTTAGAGAGAAAATGATCTAAAAATCTGACGACCAGTAATTTATCTAGATTAAAAGTGGAGGATTCTATCCATAATAATGTTGACATTAATGAATTTTTCCTTCATGAAAAGTTTTGCAGTGCATGGCATAGCTGTGTCTTGGTACACAGACATTGTAAACTACATTGTTAGTGGTATTATACTATTTGATGTGTTGTAGTACCAAAGACGCAAACTTTTGTAAAATATTAAATATTACTTTTGGGATGACCTATAGCTATTAGGAGGTGTAGTGATCAAATCATTCAGTGTGTCCCTTTGAAACGCAAAAGATTATTAGTAGTGTCACGACTCTTATAATGGCAAGCATTCTGGAGGATATAAAATTGCATCCATAATTCTGCAATCTAGATTATTTTGGCCTACCCTCTTTAAGGATATTAATGAATATGTTAAAAAATATGATAGATGACAAAAGGTAGGTAACATTACAAAATGAAATAAAATGTCTATGAGTTTTATATCAGAAGTTGAGTTATTTTATGTTTAGGGGTTAGATTTTATGGAACCATTTATTCAGCTATTGGGTAATCAGTATTTTTATATAGTTGTTGACTATGTTTCTAAATGGATAGAAGGTTTAACTTGCCCCACAAATGATGTCCAGGTTGTCATTAAATTCTTAAAGAGAACTGTATTTTTTTTTTTTTTTTTGGAACACCTCGAGTGATCACTAGTGATGCGGGAAGTCATTTTTTAAATAGAAAAGTAGGAAATGTAATCTCCAAATTAGGTACTCAACACAAAAAAGCAATTGCTCATCACCCTAAGACTAATGGACAAGTTGAAATTAGCAACAGGGATTAGAATAAACTATAAACCAAAAAGGAAAAACTAATATATTAGAATGGATGATGATTTATGAACTTATAAGACTGCATTTAAAACTTTTATTAGAATGTTTCTCTATAGATTGGTTTTAGAAAAGCTTGTCACTTGACAGTAAAATTAGAATATAAAACTTATTGGGTTGTTACAAAAATAAATTACAATCTTAAGGAAGGATCTTATGGAGAAGCAACTGATACAATTGAATAAATTTGAGGAATTTAGATTGGATGCCCATGAAAATGTTAGGATTAATAAAGAGCAATGTAAGAAATAACAAGATTGTAGGATCATCAGAAAGAATTTTCACCTAGACATGAAGCATTGTTGTATAACTCTAAATTAAAATTGTTTCATTAAAAATTAAAGTCTAGGTGGTCAAGTTCATTCATTATTACTAGAGTACATCTTTATGGAGTTGTATAAATTCAGGATAAAAAGATGGCCCTTTGATTTAAAATTAATGGCATAGACTTAAACCATATCTAGGTGAGGATATAAACTGATCTAGGAGTATCTTAGCTTAAGATCATCTTGAATAAGATTTGACATAGTCTGACAGAAGACTATAAACTTAGCGTTTGTTGAAAGGCAATCCAAAAGATTTTATCTATTTATTACTTTAGCTAGATTAGATTATGTGTTTATTATCTTGATTGTATTCACCTTGCTTTATTTTAGATTTTGTTTCCTAATATAAAAATGAGAAATATGAATGGTGACACAACGCCACATTTGTCACATCACCCTTACGAGTTTGATTTAGAAGGAATATTAATTAAAAATGAAAGAATAGGATGTTATGAATTATTTCATTCGAAAAAAATTTCAATCTATATTATTGTAAATATACTTCAATTATTGATTTTATCATTTTCAAATATTATATTCCAACAAAAGAAAATTGATGATTCAAGTGTAAAATGAATTACTTGAGATATAATGTTTATTTAGGAAATTTGATTATGGAAAAAATGTATACTCCAAACTACAATTATTTTTTATGAAAATACTACATAAATCTATCTTTTTTGTGTAGGAAAATAGTGATACAAGAATCATGATTGAAGGAGCTCCACAATAGAACTAATCAAAGTGTCGCAGTGCCACGGTGCTATAAATAGTGCTGTAGTTGAGATGGACAGAATCCAAGATAGAGAGCAAGGCGTCGAGAAGCTTAAGATACCAGCGTAGCAGCACCATATCGTTGCTGCAGCACCTCGGCGGTGATAGTTAATGATAGTTAAATCGATGAACTGATGAGACGATACGTGAGCCCAATGTTTAAAATTGCGTATTCGGGTATTGAGGCGTTTTTCATTCGTGAGGCGAGGCGTAAGCCTCAAAATCAAAAGATTGCGTAAATATAAAATGATAAATTTTTTATATACTAATGAGTGAATAATATAAAACATAAAAAAACAAAAGATATGAAGTGAAATCAAAATATCTTAATAATAAGACAACATGAAATATAGTTCAACTCAAAATTCTATCTTTCTCAAATCCCAGTATTCTTTTCATTACATATAATTCTAATTTCCAAAAATAAATAGCAATGACATATCACATAAGAACTCATAAGTCATCAGCATTGTCATCACTAAGGGGTTCTTCATTTGAATCATCATTATGGTGAACTGCTCTCTCCGCTCCCTCCTCTCCTATAGAGTCCAATGTCGGGCATTTACTTCAAGATTTATGTAAGTTTTAATATATATAGCGTGAGGCGCAAGCCTCATGCCAGTGAGGCGAGGCGGGCCTCAACTCCAAGTTGAGGCGCAAGCCTCATAAAAAAAACTCGAGGCGTAAGCATCGAGGCGTTTTTTACTGGAATTGCACAAAGGCGGGCCTCAAGGCGAGCCTCATATTGCGCAATTTTAAACCATGTGCGAGCCAACAGGTCGATTCAGTTCAGTGCTAGAATGCCACAAAGTTCAATGCTAGTGTAGTTATTTCTAAAATATATAAATAGGTGGATCATTTCTCATATAAGGGGCCATGTTATGGTAGAATGTGGACAATGAGAGTATATTTTCTTTTTCTTTCTTGTGTGTTATAAGTGTGCGAGAGAGAAGGGTAATATGATCATATCTAATTTTTAGTAGCCTCTCTGAACAATATTGTTTCTATCCCTAGAACTTATATTTGTGTTGGTTTTCATGTGCAGCAAAAAAAATTGTATTTGTTTCAAGCATGTTCAGTAATTAAATATACATTTTACACTACTTGTGCTATGATTTTTATGTGTGTTAAAGCAATAGAATACCTATGTAAAATATGTTATACTATGTTTCATATTTTCTTATGCTTAATTTAACTGTTTAGTTGGCCCCTCATCTTTTAAAATCAAGTGTGATCTATAACTTTGACGAAAGCATAATGAATCAACAAAGAAAATCAGAACAAGTATTAATTAGACCTAGATATAGGCTAATTTAATAATTGGGGTCTTAAGAGTATATTTAAAAATATAATAGTAATTAGAATCTGAACGAACTCCACAGAGGTGAAGGATAACTATTGCTCTGATCCACATAACTAATTGTAATCTATATATTTTATTTGAAAAAAATTAAGAACATCACTAGTTTAAAAATTTCATACATTTATTAAAATAAAAACTCCAAAAATATTTTGTAGGGTAGATTTACTTCTGTTAGTTCACTTTTATCTGGCAAGATAGCTTTTAGTGGTTTGCAAAACTAGTAATCATCTTTTCAAATTAAATTTGATTTAATCATCGTAGGAACGATGCTTAACTTATCATTTTATTACTATGTTGAGACACATACACTTATGTACAAATCCGTAATCTGCATATCTTTTAATAATATTTATAGCGTATCATTAGCTATTGTCCACTGATATCATTATAAATTTCTATCATATCTGAAGGAATTTTAAAATGTACAATTTTGCCATATCTGATGTTAACGCACATTAATGTTTCATTACCAGAAGTCACCAATTGCCGCATACAAAGATTTCTGCTGTGACTATAGTGCTCGAAGGAGTGACTATCTCTAAATTTTTGTCAAAGTTGATGCCAAAACTCATCATAAATCTATTATAGGTATCCACCCACAGCTAAACCAAGGCCATTGCTATTGAGTCAATGCTACATGGGAATACAAACATTAATGTTGATGTCTCCTATACATCTTATGGATCAGGGTGTTGCGTTTTATGTCCCAATGACATATGTAGCTAACAGTGCCAATGTTCAAACAAGCTCTAGATGCATCCATCTTTAGATGGACTTTCTCAAAGGAAATATTTCATTGCGTCTCTTCCACTACTAGGAGGTGGACACATTCTATAGTATTATTCATAACTATTGTATTTTAAAATTTAAAATCCAGTGACTTTCCCTCCGGAGATTTCCATCTAAAGTATTCATATTTTTTTATAGACTGGGTTTGACTGAAATTTCAGGTACAATAAGCATATAACTATCACTCTCTTGATATATCAGAAAGGGCATCTCCGACCGAACTCCAAACGCTTGAATGGCGTCCCTGGCCAACTCCAGCCGAACCGCAAAATTTCCGTTATTTGGCTGCGGGTGAACAGTGGGACGCCAATATTGGCGTTGCACTGTTCATCTCTGTCACCTCTCTACCGAACTTGTCGCGGGAATGAAGAGGCAACCGTTACCGGCAAAAGGGTGAAAAATGGAGCTCGATTGGAGATGAATCATGGCATTTTGCAGTTTCACAGCATTTTGGAGTGAAAAATGAGATTTTCGGTTAGAGAAGCTCAGGGCATCTCCGACCGAACTTCAAACGCTTGAATAGCGTCCCTGACCAGCTCCAGCCGAACGGCAAAATTTCAACTATTTGGTTGCGGGTGAACATTGGGACGCCAATATTGGCGTTGAAATGTTCATCTCCGTCATTTTTATCTCTCTACCGAACTTGTCGTGGGAAAGAAGAGGCGACCATTACCTGCAAAATGATGAAAAATGGAGTTCGATTGGAGATGAATCACGGCATTTTGTAGTTTGATGGCATTTTAGAGTGAAAAATGATATTTTCGGTTGGAGATGCTCTAAGTTAGGAATTCCACAAATAAAAAAAGGAAAAACATATGACCATCACCCAGATCAGAATTTATAGGGTTGAACAGAGAAATAATGCATAATCAAATCTATAATCCGGAAATTTCTTGAGAAAAGCAATGGCTTTGGGTATACGGACCTGCAAACTTTTTTCCGTCGTATGCAATGACCACACGCCACTTATGAGGAGAACTCGGACGCGATAACGTCGCCAAATCCGAACCATCATCTCTGTGTCTCTAGAATGGAGAGGAAATCTAATAGCAGAACCAAAAGAACAGGAACAACGAGAGAGAGAGAGAGAGAGAAAGGGAGAGAGAGTACCAAGCATTTTGCAAAAGATAAGGAGAGTCGTTTTGGCGAATAAGAAAAACCCAGCACGGCAAGAGCCATTTGCAGACCGAAAAGATGAAAACCGTGGCTATTTCAGGCGTTACTAGACCACACTAGGTTTTAAGTTAAGTATGATAAATAGGATTTTCAAATCTACGGATATATAACCACTTTACTTTAGGGTGAGAACTTTACTTTAAGCTCTTTTAAATGGGATTTTGAAATAATTAGGGTGAGAGCTTTACTTGAAGCACTTTTAAGCTTGACAAAGACCTAAGAGTTATTACATATTGATTCACAACATACATTTATAAAGTTAACAAATGAAAGTATCATATCATTTACCCTCGTAAGTTCAAAGCATTGTCTTTTATTGAATTTCTTTTCATGCAATTGCAATAGTTTTGTAGGAAACAGTTTCCATTTTAGATTTACTAAGATAAACTATTACAATGTTAGCAGGCAAAACTCAGGCGATACTAGGGTTCTAAGTATAGCACTCCATGATCTAGAGTGAAAGAATTCTTTTTTTTTTCTCTTTTTTTTTTTCTTTATTATCTTCTCAACTCATTCTATTAATTTTATCTTTCATTAACAAACAATAATCATTTATTTATAATCAGATCAATTTAAAATTTTGAGATAATTAATTGAATTAAATAAAATAAATAAATAGTTGGAAAAAGATATTTACATTACTACTATAAATATGTACATCTTGCTATAAAATCCAAAGGCTAAAAAGCATATATATAATTGCCACTATTGGCTACACAAACGAATACATAAAACCCAAGAACTGAAAATATAACTAAACTAGCATCTCTATTTAGCCTCTTGCATGCACCTTACCTTTACCTAAAATTATTTAATACCATATAATGAGCATATAACCCAGCAAGTAAGCACAACTTACCACTGAAATCAATGCATGGAAAAAGAGAAATAGTATGTTGTAAATCATATAAGAAAAATCTATGAATCAATATATGTTATCTTTATCAGACATATATATCAATTTATCACATATATTACATATCACATCTCAATTTATGAATTATCAGTTCTAATGCTGAGTTAATCTCATATAGTCAATCAAAATAGTCACTCTATCTTCATCATTCAATTAGTTTTTTTTTTATAAAGTAGTTATATCAATATTCTTATCATTTATAAGTATTATTTATCATATGTAAATACTCTTATAATTTATTAGATATTCTGATGAGAGTATCTTTATCTTGCCCATTCCCTTATGACTTTCAATTAGTGAATCACGTGGATTAGTCACCCCCAACTCCTTATGACTCTCAATCAATCAATCATAGAGATCTTGGAGTTATCACATAGGGTTATCATATATAGCTGATATTAATGAGTACAACATTTCACCACACCTTATGGTATTTCATATTAGCATTTCAGCTTCCCAATTCAATGCACTTATACCAAATGTTATATTATGCCATTTATACCCATGTCAATATTGCATTCCAGTACATATCTATTTTTTTTTTTTTAATTCCAGTACATATCTATCATATCAATCATTACAACACATGTTACATTTCAATATTATCATATCAATTCACAATACATCACTTTTGACCCATTCTTAATTAGTGTCCCTTTTTCCAACTCATTTCACATAGAAATTCTCATACAAATATTTAACTATTGAAAATGTAATAACATCATATTAAATTATTCAAAATGGTCAAATCTATAATACATCAAAATTTACATAGTGAAATCTCCCAATATTAGGAGATAATATTTTTTGATAGATTTTGGAGAGATAAAATTTGTAAAAATCAAAACCATAAAAAATAGGAGTAAGAGTTTAGTCACTTACTTTAAATAGAGTAAAATCCGTAACAATAATGATGGATGAAAAATGACAAGAATCAGCTTTCTCTCTCTTCTTTCTCTCTCTTCTTTCTCTCATCTTCTTGTCCCTTCTCTCCTCCCTATTTTTACTTCTTATTGGCCAAGAAATATAATGAGGGAGGGGAGGGGATGGATAGTGGCAAGGGAAATTTAGGGAAAAAATATATTTAAAAATCAATTGTAGTGTCTAACACAGTAGTACTCCTACTCGGTGATGTAATGTCATATCCTGAATCTAGAATTACTATAGAACAAAGCCTTCAATGTCATGATGAAATTTTTTGGCTCTGCTGCACTCACATGCACAACATTTATATAATTAGCATTGTAGCTCTTGAATTCAAATAGAAATTGAAAAAATTATTTATTTTTTTAATTTTAGAATAGTTTTTAAACTTTTTGAGTTGCAACAACCTACCCATCTTAAAAAAAATATAATCCTCGACATTTCATTATCAGTATGAGAGAGTGTGTGTGTGAGTATATACTTAAAATGAACTAAATCCATACCACACAAAATCAAGTGGGTTAAAAAATCTTGAATCCATGTCAGATAAAAATGAAAATATAATCTTTTCTAAAATCATCATAAAACTTTAACTTATAAAGTAAATCAAAACCATACTAGTCGAATAATCAGACACCTCAGGAGCCTCTATCATTGGTTATGACAGTCTACTTTCAATGTAAAATTATCCTTACCGAAGTCAAGGAAATTGGCATTCTACCATTCAGTTCCCATAATGACCACACCTAAAGAATTATCTGATCACCCTATAACAGTGTCTCACATGCCACATGTATCCTCCCACACTAAATACATTATGGTGGTATGTGATTTGATAATCATTACTATATTTTTCTTACTATTTTAACTTAATTCCATAAAACTTTGTCAAAAATATTTTGCTAATCAGGTTAGAATTTTTTTTTCATATTCTCATATGTCACTAAAAACACTTTAGTACATAGAAGGTTTTGACTTCTTCCCTTTCATGTCCATTTGTCTGATCAATAAATAAATCTTACATACAAAATAAATCTTTCAAAATAAAATAAATAAATAAATAATAAATTTTTCAAGATAAAATAAATCTATAAACATATTTAATTAATAAATAATTCAATCATTAATGAAGTTACAGTTACAAGAAAATTCATCCACTAAACATTGCTCTAATACTAATTATAGCACCAAAAGATCTAAAGTGAAAGAATTTCTTTTATTTCCTATTTTTTATTATCTTTTTAATTCATTCTATTCATATTTCTTTTAATTAACAACCAATAATCATTTCTTATAACCAAATTAATTTGACATCTAGAGTTGATTAATTATATTAAAAAACAAATAAATGGCAAGAAAAATATAATTAGATTGCTACTATCAATATTTATATTTTGTTAAAAATTTCAAAGTTTAGAAAGTATATATACATTAGATACTATAAGCTATAAAAGATTACATAAAACCTAAGAACTACAAATAAAACTAAACTATAGCATCTCTATATAGCCTCACACTGCACTCTCTTTATCTTTATCTGAAATCATATAAAACCACATAATGAGCATATAGCCTAGCAAATAATCATAACATACCACATAAATTAATGCAAGTGTAAAAGAGAAATAATATGTTGTAAATCATATAAGAAAATCCTTGAATCAATATATGTTATTTGTATCAGTCATATGTATAAATTTATAGTATATATTACATTTCACATCTCAATCTATCAATAATCAGTTCTAATGATGAGTTAATCTCATTTAGTCAATTAACCAGTTTGTTTGTCTTTATCACTCAATAAGTCAATCTTATCATTCATACAATCTGTTCAGTCAATTAGTTATTTGTAAAGTAGTTGTATTAATATTTTTATCATATATCAGTACCATCTATCATATATAAGTACTCTATCATTTATCAGATATTTAGATGAGGGTATCTTAATCTTGCTCTTTTCCTTATGACTCTCAATCAATTAATCACTATATTTATCACTACCACTGTTTATGACTCCCAATTAGTCTCTAGCTTCATATGACACCCAATTAGTGAATAACATAGATCTTGAAAGTATTATGGGAGGTTATCATTTATATTAGACATCAATCAGTAAACCTTTTCACAAACTTTATGGTGTTCTATATTAACATTTTAGTTACCCAATTCTATACAGAAATACAAAATATTCTATTATATAATTCATACTAGTATCAATATTACATTTATGTATATATCTATCATATCAATCATTTTTGTACATGTTACATTTCACCATTATCATATCAAATCATAAAACATCACTTCTCACCCATTCTCAATTTACATTTTTCCTACTTATTTCACATATAAATTATCATACACATATTTAACTGGTAAAAATCCAATAATATCATATTCAATTATTTAGAATAATTAAATATATAACACATCAAAAGTTACATGGTGAAAGTTTATAAAATAAGGAGATAATGCATTTTTCGAAAATTTAGGAGAGATAAAATTCATAAAAATCAAAATAATCAAAATAATCAAAAATAAAATTAAGACTTTAGTTACTTCAAATAAAATAAAATTTGTAATAAGAATGATGGGCAAAATTTACTTGAAGCAACTTCCTCTCTTTTCTCTCTCTCCTCATCTTCTCCTTTCTCTCTTCCCTCTTTTTCTTTCTCTAAGCCAAGAACCATGAATGAGGGAGGGGACAGGTGGTGGGGACGGATATTTAGAGAAACAAAAAATAAAAAAATAAAAGTATTTTTAGTGCCTGATACCATGGCGCTCCTACCCAGCACTGCAGTACCACACATTGAATCCATAAATATTATAGAACAAAGCATTTCAATGTAACGATAGTAATTTCTAGCACCATTATACTCATAGGAACAACATGATAGCATTGACATGATCAGTGCTGCAGCGCTCCAATTCACACAAAAATTCAAATTTTTTTTATTTTTTATTTTAAAATAGTTTTTAAATTTTTTGGGTTTTTATAGTAAGCTCTTCATATGATCAACACTTTTACCCTTAACATTATTACTTGTACAACATGTATACATGCATATCTCACTGAATTGCCTAAATTTAATTCTTTTCTAAGCTTTATAATGCATGCTAAGAGCTTGTCAAGTTTTTGACACAATATTGGAGAAGTTTTTCTTATCTTATTTATTACTCTATCTGGTTAAAGAGTTGCATATTTAATATTATTGTATTTCATTTGTTGTTTTTTGTGTTACTTATTT